TGTAGAATTTCCACTCAGCCAGCCCTCCTGTGGCTCTGGACGTTGTCCTTTCCCTGGATCAAGCTTAATTTGACTTAGTTGTTCCAGGCAGCAATCTCTGGTGTTAACCTATGCCGCCATCTTCGGTTCTCCCCATTAGATATTTATTAAGCACTAATTGAATGCTAAGTTTCATAGCACTCAACCAGATTCTAGAGGAGATGGTCATAACCTTCTCACTTACGTGAGTTCACCTTTAATTCTTGCTGCAAAATGTTGGTTCAGAAGCATACACCCCCAACTTTATTCAGGACAAAGATGTTAAAACCATGGATGTCATAAGCAATGTCCAAAGGGTGCCAATTACTATTGAAACTAAAGTGAATTCTTGTTCCCAATTAGTTTTTCTTTTTTTATGTGTCCTTTCCCCCCGATTGATCCCCCACCCCCGATTTCTACCCCCAGAACAAGCCACCACTGCCCCAGTGTCTGTTTCCATTGGTTATGCTAATATGCATGCATACAAGTCCTTTGGTTGATCTCTATACCCTCTGTCCTGCCTTCTCTCTGAGGTTTTTCAATAGGTCTTTTCAAAATACATTCAAATGTACATTGTACATCATACAATATGTGATTTTATCTACTGGCACCCAGGAGCATTTTGTTATTGATTTTTTAAAAAATTATTTCTGTCTAGATCAGCATGCTTTTAATTTAGATGACTCAGGAAGAGAGGATGTGGGTACTCAATGACCCTCATAATGAACCTATAAGCTGCCTCAGGAGAATACAAGATTATAGAGAGAAGGAAACTCTAGAGCTCAAAATCAGAGATCCCTTAAAATATTTTCGAAAATCATCTGAGATTTTTCCTAGTAAACACCATCTATAACTTGGATTCTATAAATTACTAATAGCTTCATAGGAGAAAAACAAATTCCTGTTGAAATACTTGATGTTCCTACTCAAAAGCAAATGTGTTTAGTTCCTATATGTGTTCTGTGCCAAGGTTAGAGATAATTAAGCCATTGTTCTACCTTAAGATAACCTCAAATAAGCATGATTAGAAAAAAAGATACAGTACAAACACATGTGGAATGTGATGTCTTGCAAGTATAACACTTAGATCAATAATTATTACATCGAGATAATGCATCAGAAATAACAGGGATGATTTTTCCAAATTATATCTACTGAACCTCATCCCAGACATTGAGAATTTCTAGCAGTGGGAACCAGGCACTTATATTGTGAACAATCTTCTCATATGATTAAGAATCACTAATTCAGAGCCTTGAATAAGTGCTACAGAAGCCCAGAGAGAGTGTAATGAGCTCCATTATGGAAAGGGAAGAAAGATGAGAATTAAAAGGCAGACATAACAAAAGGAGTGCTTTGATAAAGGAAGCAAAAGGTACACAGTGTGTTCATGAAATGTAGTCTGTCTGCCGGGAGTGGAAGGTATGCAGGGCAGGGAAAAGTAGCTTAGGGGGAAGCAGGAGAGATAAGTTAAGAACCAGGCTCTGAAGGTTACGGAGGGGTTGGTCTATGTGGACCAGGATGGGCCAACACAGAAGTAGAGCAATTGGAGATGAAGACCCAGAAAACACAATAATTGGGGCCTAGACTTACCCAGAGTTTCTTTGAAGAAAAAGATGTTATATTCTTTATTGATCCTTAGTACTTTTCATAGTAATAGACCTCATTAAATATTTACTAAGTTAATGAGTGAACAAAAGAGAAATTAGAACATAATTGCTGTCAATTAGCAATTAATCTGAAGTTCACACTAATGACTGCATATGTAATAAATGCATAAAATAATTCTCAGTTATTAGTTCCAACTAATGCTTTCATTGCCTTTATAAAATGTCACATTAATGATTTTCTTCAGCATTATTAAGGAGAGAAGTTCCTGATACAAAGGGGCCCAACCAACACCTGAATTCCCTCTAGTGGTACTGAAGTATGGACAGACAAGACAACCTGGCCCAAAACTAACCACCCCTCCAAGGCCAGTATCATCCCTCTCCTCAGGAGCTCAGGCCCCACTGGTTTCTTTTCCATTTGATAATGGTGACAAACACTACATCACTTAGAGCCCAAAGAGAGAGACTGGCTCCTTTAAGATTAGGTGTGACATCTGTTGAAAGGTCCAATCCAAAAGTGAACCTACAGCAAGGACCATTCAAAACCACTAGGACCCTTGGCACTTAATCTATACCCAAGTGAGAACCAATTCTGTTGCTTTTATTTGCTATTATAAGTCATCTAAGCAGAGTTCTCCAAGCCTGAATTTTTTGAGGAAAAAGTACCTTTTAGTGCTTCTCACTCATTCACCATAATTCAATTATGAGTACACTCAGGTAATACATGATCCCTGAGCTTCAAAACTTAAAGTACTGCATTAGAGAAAGAGATACCCTCCCCCTCAAAAAGAAATAATTATAATACTATGTAATAAATGCTGCAGAAGAGGAACTATAAAAACATATGGAAAGGCCATTGATCCAAACTTGGGGGATGAGAGAAGACTCCTGGGAGAAAAATCAGCTTGCATTTAAACTTAAATGATGAATGGACATGGGCTAAAAGAAAAAAGGGAGAGGCAGTTCACAGAGCAGCAGCAGTGTGTGTGAAGTGTGAGGCTGCAGGGGGCTTGGTGAGTCTGGAGGATGGAAAGCAATCAGTCCCATAGTGTGGGGACTGGTGAGGGGAAATGCTGGAGCAGTGGGCAAGAACCAGATTGCACAGGACCCTGATGACAATGGGGAGTCATTGAAGGATGTTAAACTGGAAAGTGATGTAATTTATATTCACTATGGCCATGGGATGGACAATGAACTAGAGGAGACAAAACCAGAAATGGGAGTTGGATTAGAGGTCATTCAAGGAAGAGATATTGGTAGCCTGAATGAAGGCAGTGGCTATGAAGAGAGAGAGAGAGAAGCAAATGGAATTAAGAGATTTAGAAGAGTGTCTTGACAGGTCTTTGGCATTTATTTACATAAGAACACATGGTAATTTGCACATACTGAAAGGACAACTTTGATTGGAAGCTCAATGACATTCTTTAAGAATATTGGCATTTCTGATGTTTTTCCATGACCCTTATTGTTTATCTACAATATGGAGATATTTTGACCTTATCCCCTTCCTAACTAGAGATTTATTTAGTGCAAACTTGAATCAAAGGAGTTCTGGTTTCTGGCACACCAGTTAACAGAAGGGTTTAGTGAGATTCTAGACCAGAGAAAAGGGAGGATTCAGGAAGAGTATGCATAGCAAGCAGGAAGATCTCAGCCCCTTCCCCAATCCTGCTCTCAGAATACAACCACCAATGTTTACCTAAGTCAAGCACCAGCCAACAAGCCCCATCTCTGTATGTAGTTTCCAATCAGATGTGAGTACCTCCAATCAGATTTTGTGAACCCTGTAGCTTAATATTTTAAGTAAATACACTCTAAGAAAAAAAAAATCCAAAAAAGTGAGACTTAAGTTTTATTAGTTTCATAGTAAATCTGCCTTCACTCCCTTGTAAATGTGAACAAAAAGCCCCTAGATTTTCACTAGACCATTAAGACACAGAGAAAAATAGAGATTAAGCAAAGAACAGAAAAAAGCACTAAAAAGTATATCATAAATATCCTAAAATTTATGAGAATTGCTACATCACAAAACAAGAACAAAATATTATTTTCAGAAAGTAATCAGAGAGGAGAAGAAAGAGAGCTTGGAAATTTAAAACATAAAGAATTGGATTAAAAAGTAAAAAACATTTTAATTAAACATGATAAAAATACAAAGAGAAGATAGTAGGAGAGAAAATGTAAGAAAATTGAAGGATCAAACCTACTCATAGGAGTCCCAGATGAGAACAGAGAAAAGAAATGGGAGAAAAATAGGGGAAAAGTATATGGGAACAATTTCTAAAATCAAAGGTCATAAGTATCCAGATTTAAAAAATCTTTGTCCAACATAATAAATGAGATTCTTAGTAATGCATGCAAATGTGAAATTTTATAGTATCCAGAATAAAGAGAAGATCTTAAAAGCTTCCAGGAAAAAAAATATGAAAGAATCAGGAATCAAAATGACATCAGTCTTTTACATACCAGTCCTGGGAGCTAGAAGTCATTTGAGGGATTTGAGGGAAAATGATTATCATCTTAGAATTCTATACCCAGACAAACTATCAACAAATATAATGAAAGAAAAAAAAGACATTTTCATATTGGTAAGAACATACTCAAAAAGTTCCTCCTACACCCCCTTTAATAGGAAGCTACTAGAAGATGTGTCTTAGCAAAATGAGGGAAGGGAAATATGTGGACTCAGGAAAGGAGATACAGAGCAGGAAGAGGCAAAAGAAATGCCTGAATGATGAAAAAGTACCAGGACACAGTTGGGTGGCAAATTTACAGAGCATCTCTTCTAGATTAGAGGAAATGGAAGGTGTCAGTTCTCCAGTAAAATCTCAAACTGATACAATGTCTGAAACTGTATTTGGGGAAAATCTTGGTAAATGTGTGACAAAGTATTTTGAAAAAAATTAGTGACAGGCGCATAGAAAAGTAAACAAGTGAAAAAAAGGTTATTTAATTCTGGTAGAAAAAAAGTAAAAAGAGACATAATCATAAAACAACACCTGGCTCAGTGGTAAATATTTACATATTATATCATATCATAATCATAATATAACACCTAACATTTTAATTAACCAAAATTTTATAATATAATTATTTTGAGAGCATGGATGGAGGAAGAGTGAGGAAGAGTTATAGGAGAGACAAATCCTCAACTGCCATATAAGAAAGTCAGTTATAATGTCTAAAATTGATGAACAAAAAAATAGCAGAATGAGCACAGTATTTTAAAATGCAGAGGCTGACATAAGAAAAAACAGTTGAAATGACTGAAAATGATTATCAATGTGTAGTAAGATTGGGCATAGACGGGTGGGTAAAGAAACTGCTGCTATGCATTATGAGCTTGTAGGGAACTATTTTTAAGTATATGCATGAACTGGTTTAATAAAAGTTCTAATTTTAAAGAATCCTATCTAATAAAAGAGAAACATGGTAATTGGCGTACAACTGCTACCCTTCCCATTGGCTAATCAGCGAGATATGCAAATTAACTGGCAGCCAAGATGGCGGCTGGCAGCCAGGTAGCTGATGCGAACAGGGAGGCTTGCTTGCTTCAGTGACGGAGGACTGCAACGTTCCCTGCCTGACTTGCCGGCCTCTCAGCTGCCACTCTAAGTAACTTCAGCCAGCCGGACAGCAACATTGTATCAAATACAGATGGTAAACAAAGGCCAGAAACCTGTTTTCACCAGCCGAGACCTCAGAGCTAAAGCTGGTCCAGAATAAAAAAAGGAAAAAGAAAAAAAGGAGCGGTTGGGAGCTTCAGTCCCAGCCTGAAAACAGCCCTCAGCCCCTCAGCCAGACTGGCCAGGCACCCCAGTGGGGACCCCCACCCTGAAGGATGTGTGACCAGCTGCAAACAGCCATCATCCCCTCACCCAGGCTGGCCAGGCACCCCAGTGGGGACCCCCGCCCGGATCCAGGACACCCTTCAGGGCAAACCAGCCAGCCCCACCCATGCACCACACCTCTACCCTATATAGTAAAAGGGTAATATGCCTCCCAGCACCGGGATCAGTGGAGCTGCGAGGCCTCCTGGCACCAGGATCAGCATGATGGCAGCAGCGCCCAAACCCCCTGATCGCCCTGTGGCTCTGTGTGTGACAGGTTGCGGGGCCCCAACCCCCGCCAACCCCCACAGGCCCTGCTCTGTGTGTGACGGGGTAGAGCCATAACCTCCCCATTGGCCCTGCCCTGAGTATGAGAGTGGCGGCGCCCCAACCACCTGATCGGCCCTGCTCTGTGGGTGATAGAGGGCGGCGCCTCAACCCCCTGATCCGCCCTGCCCTGAGTGTGACAGGGGGCGTGCCCCAACTCCCCTATCGGCCCTACTCTGTGAGTGACAGGGGGGGGCTCCTCAACCCCCTGATTGGCCCTGCTCTGTGCATGACAGGGGAAGGCGCCCCAACTCCCCCATTGGCCCTGCTCTGAGCCCGACCAGGGGCTGCACCTAGGGATTGGGCCTGCTCTCTGCCACCAGGAGCAGGCCTAAGCCAGCAGGTTGTTATCTCCCGAGGGGTCCCAGACTGCGAGAGGGCACAGGCCGGGCTGAGGGACCCCCCTTATCCCCCCGAGTGCACAAATTTTTGTGCACTGGGCCTCTAGTAGTAAATAAGCAGTTCAGAATTGGAAATAGGATGTTTAACTTAACACCTTCATCTTCATCTGGCTCACTTGTCTTTGTCCTTCATCCCAAGAAGACTTTCCTGGACTCTCTCCCAGGTCCAGCTAGATGTCCCATTGTTCACACCTACAGCATCCTGCACTGCTCACAACATGCAGCATTTTATACTTGACTGTATCTGTTGGTAAACTGAAGTTTTCCCATGTCTCTCCTGTGAGTTCTTTGAATAAAGAGACAACTGGGACTCCAGTGCCTAGTGCATTAGCAGTAAAGAAGAGAAATGGGCACACTTACCTTCGGCTCTGTCCACAAAGTCTCTCCTAGTATGGGAAATAAACTGATTAGATACAGCCTTCCTGACCTTGTCCATCGAAGCAGCGATTTTCCAAGGGAAGTGCCTCTTCACTGATGTTGGGTGAACTGGAGGTAGTGTCCAGTGAAAGAAGTCCTATCAATAAAAACACAATTTTGTCTACAAAGTCTCTCCTAGTATGGGAAGTAAACTGATTTGATACAGCCTTCCTGACCTTGTGCATTGAAGCAGCAATTTTCCAAGGGAGGTGGCTCTTCACTGGTATTGAGTGACGTGGAGGTAGTGTCCAGTGAAAGAAGTACTATGAATAAAAACACAATTTTCAAGAAAATCCACATAGTTTCACCTAATGGTTCATGTGTGCATGCATGTGTATACATATTCTTTTAAGTCTTCCCAGGTTCAGCTAGATGTCCCATTGTGCGCACCATGCAGATTCTGTGCCTGTCCACAGGATGCACCAGTTTACAAAGCTATCAGTTTACACGGATACTTTATCACTTCTTTAACTTTTATGTTAATGAAAAATATATCATTGTAAAGTCCAAAGAATTGTGCCTCCAACTAGAATTATTCAGAGAAGACCAGAGGAGGAGAAAACGTGTGAATTTTAACTCTGGCCACAGGAAAGACAGCTGCTGTTTTGCCTTGGGAGCCCCAAGTCTTCTCTCCGATTTGTCTCCAAAGAGGTTTATGATTATAAAATTTAGAACTTCCACTACCTTTCTATCTTCCCTCTCTTTCCTCTTGCTTCCTATTTCCATGAGAAAATTGAAGCCAATGAAGAGAACTTACACAGCACACCACACCACCTGTCAGCTATCACATCTGTGTTGGCAGATGAGTTGCTGGGTCACCCAGGAGGTGACCCCACCTGGTACCCGAAAGCCTGCATTTAGTCTACTCCAGCACATTACCAACAATTCTCACCTCTCTCTTGCAACTTCCATTCCTCCCTCTCTCCTGGGAGGTTATCATCAGTACCAGAGCCTGCCTTTATTTCTCCTATCTTAAAAAGAAAACTCTCTCTTCATCCTATTTCTCCTCTAGTTACTAAAATATTTCTCAGTTTGCCTTTACACTGAAATCCCTCAAAATAGTAAGGGATACGCACTGTCCCAAATTTGTCTTTCAAGTCTCTTTTAATCTTCAAGTTCCCTCTCCATCCCCTTCTTTCCCTTATAATTTCTCTATGTAAATTTCATTTTAATTTTTTCATTTTAAAATGAGGGGCTAGGGAAGAAGTAGTTAGAAATAAACATGAAAAGGTAGACAAAAGAGTCTAAGAAGAACCATAACTGTAGATGATGAAGGATCTTTGTGATATATTCAAACTCTCAGTATTGGATTATTGATACGGTATTCAATTAAATAGATATGTAGGTATTATCTTACTTGACTGGAGTGAGAATTGTGACTCCCAATCTCTCTTGGAGTCCTAGATTTGATAAAATCTTCTTTAGAATGTAACTTCCAAATGTACTCATCATTGTATTGTGTCCGATTGTGAAGAGAATCATTAAGTGAATATGTATATCCTAATCTTCGGATGCTTTTATGACTACAAGAAAAGATAGTGTAAATTAGAGTAAGGGATTAAATACAAAGTCTCACAACAGCACACATCAAATAATTTTAGTTGTTACATATTTTTTTAAGGTTGGCTGGCTTAAGACTCAGTGCCAAAAAGTAAAAAGTAATTATTGGACATCAGAAAAATGGTGGTGTGAGAAAGCCCCTTGCCCTCTCCTCCTGAAATTTCAACAAGTTAACCAACTATAATTCAACAAATAATCCCTTCTCAACACAGACACACTATTGAGAGACCATTGAAACATCTAAAGGTGGGCAACTGGAAATAAAAAAATGGGAAGACAAGAAGGGAGGAAAACACAGACAGCCCACAGATACAGCCCTGAAGCCTAATGGCTCAGCTGGCCAGGAGAGGGCAGAAATCTAGCAGTAGCAGGGGCTTCATTTGGCTAGAAGGAACAGAGAGCTGTAGAGGGGCAGCCCAGCAGGGCAAGCATCAAAGGGACGAACAATGTCTGAATCAGCAGATGCCTGACAGAGAATGGGGTTTTGCTGTGCAGCTCTCCACTATTGGGCCAGAGATGGTGTTTCAGACAAAGAAATGGAACCACAGAGCCCTGCCACTGCTTGGACTCCCCAAACTCGCCTCCTGTTGCCCTTGTAGTTGGATCCAGGAGCATATTATCTGTAAACCAAGAGCTATTACAGTAGAACTGCTGTCTCCCCCTGTGACTGATCCTAGGAGGAGAGCTTGGGATGGGATCCAATGGAGTCAGGGGTTGCCATTAGAGTGAGGGCAAAACAAATCCCACCCCCAAGCAGTGCAGCTGTACTGTCTGATAGAAGACACAGAGGTTCAAGATTGGGAGATCAGAGAGGTAAAAAAAATATTGCGATTTAGTGCCATTTACTAGAAATAGTAGAAAGAACTCTTCAGAGATAAATGCGTAGGCAAAGGAGGACAGCAAATACCATGGATAACCTCAGTAACTATGATGACCAAAAAGAAAATGAAAAATCTCCAGAAAGCAAGCTGGAACACATGGAAATAGGTGATATAAATGACAGAGATTTCAAGATTGCAGTTTTGAAAATACTTAACAAGATGCAAGAAAATACAGACAGGCAATTCAATGCACTCAGAAAACAAATTGATGAACAAAATGAGAATTTTACCAAAAAGATTAAAACTTTAAAAAAGAACCAATCAGGTCCTAGCTGGTTTGGGTCAGTGGATAGTGCGTCAGCCTATGGACTAAAGGGTCCCAGGTTCAATTCCAGCCAAGGACACATGCCTGGGTTGTGGGCTTGACCCCCTCCCCTCCAGTAGGGGCATGCAGGAGGCAGCCAATCAATGATTCTCTTTCATCATTGATGTTTCTATCTCTCTATCCCTCTCCCTTCCTCTCTGAAATCAATAAAAACATTTTTAAAAAAGAACCAATCAGAAATCTTGGAAATGAAGCATGCAATTAAGGAGATTAAGAGTAAACTACTGAGCATAGAAAATAGAGCTAACCAGATGGAGGAAAGAATTAGTGATATTGACGATAGTAATCTAGCAATGAGAACTATCTGATTCCATCCAAAAAAAATCAATACTAGAATTATAGCCATTGCAGAGGAGGAGGAGAGAGAGCATGGAACAGAGATTCTATTCAAACAAATAGTGAATGAGAACTTTCCAAACCTATGGAAAGAATTAGGTACTTGAATCTAAGAAGCAAACAGAACAGGGCCTTTGTAGGTTGAAGTAAGAAGACTGAAATTCAACCCAAAAAGACCCTCTTCAAGACACTTTGTATTAAAGCTGTCAAAAATTAATGATAAAGAAAAAAATTCTCAAAGCAGCCAGGGAAAAGAAGGAAAACCCATCAGAATTTTATATGATGTCTCAGCAGAAACTGCACAAGCCAGAAGAGCATGGAACCAAATATTCGAACATCTGAAAGAGAGAAATCACTTGCCATGAATAATATATCCAGTAAAATTATCCTTTAAATATGAAGGAGAAATAAAGATGTTCTCAGACATACAGCAGCTGAGGGATTTAATAACCAGAAAACCTACATTGTAAGAAATACTCAAGGAAGTTATCCTCCTGAAACAAAGAACATAAGGTCACAACACTACAAGTAAGAGCACCAAAAAACTTACAGCATAATCAGGGATAATTTGTGACAACAAAAACATAAAAAAGGAGGAGGTAAAGATCTGAACTGGCAAAGGAAGATAAAGATCAGATGCACTCATAGGTTAAAAAAAAAGAAAGAAAAAAGCTATGGTATATATGCAAGTTTATTTTTTATAAACCTAATGGTTACCATACCAAAAATTCCCAAACCACGACACATAGCTTAAAAAAGGAGGAAATAAGTATGAAACACCACCAAACAAAAACAATAGTTAGAAACACAAAGGAAAAGAACCAATGGAGGCACAGAACTAACAGAAAACCAAAGACAAAATAGCATAATGATAAAGGGGATACTTATCAAGAAAACATAACACTAGTTAATATATATGCACCCAACCAAGGAGCACTGAAATATATAAAACAGCTACTCACAGAATTAAAGGGAGAAACAGATCAAAACACAACCAGAGTTGGGGACCTTAGTACTCCATTGACAGCTCTAGACAGATCAACCAAACAGAAAATCAATAAAGAAATATCAGCCTTAAATGAAACACTAGACCAAATGAACATAATTGACATTTAAAGATCCTTTCCTCCAAGAACATCAAATTATACATTCTTCTCCAGTGCACATGGAACATTCTCAAGGATAGATCATAAATTGCATCATAAAACTAGCATCAAAATATATAAGAAGATTGAAATTATACCAAGCATATTCTCTGACCACAATGCCTTGAAATTAGAAATCAACTGCATAAAGGAGGTACAAATACATGGAGATTAAACAAAATACTACTAAAAAATGACTGAGTTGAATAAGAAATAAAAGATGAGATAAAAAGATGTAGAGACAAATGAGAATGACAATATAACATATCAAAGCATCTGTGATGCAACAAAAGCAGTAATAAGAGGGAAGTTTATATCATTACAGGCCTATCTCAAGAAACAAGAGACCCCCAAGTAAACAAACTAACATCACATTTTAAAGAACTAGAGAAAGAACAACAAAAGAAACCCAAAAACAGCAGAAGAATCTATACTAATAAAAGGGTAATATGCTAATTAGACCAGGAGACCTTCTGGGAGACCAGCCGGGGAGGGTAGTTGGAGGCAATGAGGCCAGCAGGGGAGGGCATTTGGGAGCCATCAGGCCAGCCGGGGAGGGCATTAGGGGGCCATGAGGCCAGCAGGGAAGGGCAGTTGGGGGTCATGAGGCAGGCTGGAAAGGGCAGGTGGGGGCAATGAGGTGGGCTGGGGAGGGTAGTTGGGGGCCATCAGGCTGGCAGGCCCTCGATGCTGGCAGTCCACTGGCTAGAAAGGAGTGAGAAGGAGGAAGTGGACTGACAGTTGGGAGCGATCAGGCTGGCCAGGGGGCAGGGGGAGCAGGACAGAAGGCCGGCAGGCAGAGTGCTTAGGGGCGATTGGGCAGGCAGGCAGGTGAGCTTAGGGGTGATCAGGCAGGCAGGCAGAGGGGTTAGGGGCGATTGGGCAGGCAGGCAGGAAGCGAAAAGACCCATATAAACAAAAACAGAAATGAGAGAGGCTAAGTCACCACAGATATTACAGATAAACAAAGGATCATAACCTAGAAGAAATGGATAAGGTCCCAGAATTATATAACCTTCCCAATCTAAATCATGAAGAATTGGAAACTCTAAATAGACCTATCAGTAGTGAGGAAATTGAAACAACCATCAAAAACTTCTCAAAAAACAAAAGTCCTGGACCAGGTGGCTTCACCAGTGAATTCTACCAAACGTTCAAAAAGATTTAAAACCTATCCTTTTCAAATTCATCCATGAAATTGAAGAAGAGGCAATACTTCTTAACAGATTCTATGAGGTCAGCATAACCCTGAAACCAAAACCTGGCAAAGATAACACAAAGAAAGAAACTACAGACCAATAGCTCTGATAAATACAGATGCAAAATTCCTAAACAAAATACTAGCAAATTGAGTACAACAGAACATAAAAAAAATAACACATTGCAATCAAATGGGGTTCATTCCAGGGGAACAAGAATGATTCAACATGCACAAATCAATCAGTGTAATACACCACATTAACAAAAGTATAAAATCATATGATCTTAACCATAGATACAGAAAAAGCATTTGATAAGATACAACATCCATTTATGATTAAAACACTCAATAAAATGTGAATTGAAGGAAAGTACCTCAACATAATAAAGGCCATTTATAATAAATCCTCAGCTATTGGCAGAAAAATAAAAGGTTTTTCTCTAAGATCAGGAACAAGACAAGATGACCACTCTCACCACTCTTATTCAACAGTGCTGGAAATCCTACCCAGAGCAAGAAGGTAAGAGAAAGAACTAAAATGCACTCAAATAAAAAAAGGAAGCAAAAACTATCACTTTTTGCAGGTGACATGATTCTGTATATACAAAGCCCTAAAGATTCCACAAAAACTATTGGAAAGAATGAATAAATACAGTCAAGTTGCAAGATACAAAATCAATATGCAATAATCCATTGCCTTCTTGTATATTAACAATAAAACTTCAGAAAGAGAAATGAAAAAAGACAATTCCTTCTGCAATTGCAACCAAAAGAATAAAATGCCTAGGAATAAACTTAAGAAGATGAAAGACCTATATACTGAAAATTATAAAGCATTCTTAAAAGAGATTAAAAAACAAACAATAGAAACTATGCCATCTTGAAGGGGAGAGCTTCCGTGAGTAGGAGTCCAGCCTCACCAACACCCAGACTGGCCTTAGACAGCACTTGGGACCACTTTGCCAAAGACCTGCTACCTCAGCTGCAGACCCATGGATACTAGGACACCAGCCTCCCTAGGTGCAGGCTTCTCTGAGTCCCAGAGTGCGCAATCCTCCCACCAGCCTGCCGCCAC